ATCATCTGTGGGGCGATCATAATCCTTACTTTGGTCACTGGTGTGGCTTGCTACATAGTAAAGCGCCACAATAACACAGATGACCGCAAGACTGAAAAAGAGCTGGTCGAGAGGAATGCGAGGGCCTTAAACATCACCTACCGGTACAAAGATGAGGACTATGAAGAGCTGGGCGAAGAGGGGATGACCAACACAACCTTTAAACAAGATGGTCCTGACAGTCAAGAGGAGCACACATATGAAACTACCATAAATTCCAGGTAATCGTTGACAAAGGAAGCTTTTGTCACATTTCATTTGAACATGAACAGAGTCTGAGGCTGAAGTCTAGATGACTTGTGATGGACTTGCAGAGTCTTGTGATGGACTCAACTACCACACTGACCTTAACAAGGCAGGGCCTTAGCGAAGGTATTTTTTGTGGGGGGTTGTGCAAGAGTCAGTGTGCCAACTTGTAACTTGTTCACCAACCTCATTTACTACGTCTTCACGCAAACAAACAAACAAACAAACAAACAAACAAATAAACAAACACCCCCAACAACCCAACAAACAAACAAAAATACACATAGGTTTGCGACAAACCAAAATCTTTCTAGTTTCTCAGTTTCAATGAAGCTTATTAGTTTACCAGGCTTACTAAAAAGAGATGCCAGTCTATGGCTCATTTTGTAAAAAATGTATAAAGAAAAAGATACAGGACTTTTTCAAGAAATGCCCTTGAAAGAAGAATCATCATTAAAATATGGTTTTCAAAGAATTATGCTATTTTCATACTAAGAAATCTGAATTGTATAAGCAGGTGTAAAATGCTATGCATACAGAACCGATGTACCTGCAGTATAATAATCATTTAGCTAAAGTACCAATGAAAAATTCCGAAGTGTAGAAAATTAACTTTCATTTTCAATTAAATGTAGCTCAATCTTTGACAAAAAAATATTAGGAAGTAGTGAAACACATGTACTTCATATGTCCACTGATATAAGAAGACACAGAAAGTTTGAACTTCCTGGCAGTACATTCAAGAAATCCAAAAACCAGTTGATCATTGCCAGTTTTTGTTCAGAAGAGAATAGAACCTGAATCAATACAACCAAATCAAGTATCGATTTTTGGTGGACGAGTCTAGGTACAAGCATTTCAATTTATTTCAGAGCTGAATTTTAAATTCAATAGTAATCCACATAATACACCAGGGACTTGAACCAATACACATGTATGGGTGTGTTTTATATGTATTATCCAGAGACAAGTGTTCAACNTGTACAGTATAAATTTTACTTGATAAATTTGCTTTTAGAAGGATTATGTTTGTAAAAATGGAAATGATGGGGAATGTCAACAGTGAATTAGAATCACTGAATGTTGAGAATTTCTTAGCGTAAATATAAGTGTAATTCTTAATCATTAAAATTCCTAATCATGAAAAGTTATGATTTTTCTTTACAAAATGCTGTTTTCATAATTTACCCTTACGATGGGAAAAGAATCAAGTACTGACCCTACCTCATTTTTTTTCAAACGTAAACCAGAAATGCGTTCGTCAAGGTTTGGTTCCTCTAAACCTGATGCATTTTGATGCTTTAGACATGCAACAGAGTTTGCAAAAGAAAGGAAACACTTTCCATCAATGTAAAATTATTCTAATTTCACTTTTGGTTGTATGACAAAATTACATGTAGTTGGCAAGACGTGACTCATTTCCCTTGATTCAGGTCAAAGATTTTGAGGCTTATCGGAAAATAAAGGCAGAAATGGAAGAAATTGGATTAAGAGGGCTGTGCTTGAGAAAGTCTCTAGAGGCCTAAAGCAGTGTATCAAGCAGTGGTGTATATGAGTGTGGGACATGTTTACTTCAATCAAATCCAAACTGTCTCTTTACAATGCAAGATTTTAAATGCTTAACAAGAACATTTGACAAAGAACAAGCAGTGAATTAACACATACTTTGGTATGCTATACTGTTTATTGTGCTTTCCACATGTCAATGCTCAATGTGACCCACTCCTGATGAAAAAAACCAAACATCTCAGCAAGTGAACAAATTTAACACAAAACTGCAAGGTTGTTTTCTACTTGATCAATCCTCAAACCTAAAATGAATATATACATGTACCTGTACATGTATCTTAAGAGCCTTTCCCTTGGGATGACTTCTCAGGCAAAATATGTTGTTCAAGTAGCCCCATCTTGAGAAATGGTTCTGTCCAAATATTTATCAATAATATTCTCAGCTTCAGTTACTGTCTGATCATTATAAAACTCAATTCACAAAGAATCCTACAGATTACTACATGCTTTCAATACCCCAATTACTTCATTGTGTGTCCTTGAGCATGCTTACAGCTGTTACACAGAATACCTGTTCACAAATCACTGACAAGTGCCAACTCGCCCAGCCCTCAATGACCTCATTTGCATATCAAGTCCCGCCCACACGGCAGCAGCCCACAGGCTCCAGTGGCCCTTGATTGGTCCAATGTGGCACACTTTTGGTGTCACTCACATAGCCAGCCCCGCACGTGGCAGACGTGTGACTCAAGAGGGGGTGATGTCATGGGTGAACAGCAGTAGTGAGTTTGGTTGAGCAATACACAGAACCAGATGAAGTGGATACCAGAGAGGCCCTAGCCCTGCGCGCTTGGACTAGCTCAATGGATGCCAGCATGGCAGTGAGATGCTAAAAACCACACTGAACAGCCTGCAATATCTTATACGTGTACAACTGCATGCAAGTGGACTTCGCACAGGCTTGTGAACTTGGTGGTTTTTCACTCCTACCACACTTTTGGAGCTCCTTCAAAATTAACAGGATTGAATGATTAGCAATCGGACGAATCAGCCACCAAGCAATGGGGACTGAGTGTTAAACATTACAGAGGCCTCTAGAGTAGTGTTCCATACAGGGTGGCACCAAGTACATGGCAAATGTGGTCAATGAATTAGCAATGAGAGGAATTCCTGCTCAGCCAAGGGCAGAGGAATCCAGAGATTGAATCACCAGCTTTTTGAGATACAGGATTTGGCCAACAACTGTGAGACTGAATTCAGGGAACTGGTTTTGTCAAGGGCAATCGAGATGGAGTGGCACAAGATCTGGTCCAAATCTTTGCAGACATCACTACAGCTTCTTGCCTTGACAGCTTTGGCTCTCTGTGATCTAAGCTTCAAAGTGGAACCTATGATGACAACAGAACTTGAGCACGCAAATGTGACCATGTACTGCATCCTCAACGATCTGCAGCCCGACCATGAAGTGCGATGGTACTGCGAGGGGGTCCAAATCAGTGCAGGAGCAAACATCATACTGCTAGATGCCCGTCTCCGTATCGAGGAGGATGCGGATCGTGGTGAGTACAATCTCATGATAAACCATGTGACTTTGGCAGACGATAGAATGTATAAATGTGCAGTTTACACAAGAAACACCAACGATTTAAACTTGGAGTCCGCTGAAGCCAGACTGGTAGTGCACCATGTCCCACCCAGCCAATACCCAAGCTGCTTTCCCTTGACACAAGACAGCTTCCAAGAAGGAGAACAAATCACGATCACGTGCCAGTCCAAGCGTGGCAACCCGCCAGTTACGCTGATGTGGACCCGCCAAGGGGCTCCTCTTCCAACACACACGGAAGACACTCAAGACTTCCGTAACATCGATTACACATTCACGGTTGGGCCTGAGAACCACGGGGATATATTCCAGTGTAAGCTGACCACCTCTGCCACAAACACAGTCCATCGAAGCTGCAGCCTGGGTCCCTTGGATGTGACTTTTTCGCCAGTGAGAGTAGAAATTGATGCTCCACAGAACATCGTGGTTGACCAGGAAATAGAACTGATCTGCGACTCCAAGGCCAATCCTCCCCCATCGTACACATGGACCTTCAGCGAGAAGATTGACCAATCCAGGATCTCTTACTCCGACAACAACAAGAGGATTATCTTCAGAGCTGCCCTTTTGGATGATGGCCTGATCATTGGTTGTAATGCAACCAATGATCTTGGAAGGTCAACAGGTGCCATTACGCTTGATGTCAGGCCAGCAATCACAAATCCAATTTACGGCACAACGCCATCTAAGGAGGAGCCACCCAATGGCGATGACTCAGGAGGGGCCCCAAGCAAACCGCAGACAGACCCCACATCCTCCAACAACATCATCCTCAAGCCGGAGGTCCTAGCCATCATCGCTAGTACCCTCACACTGATCCTCTTAGTTCTGATCGTCCTCATCGTGGTCACCTGCCGCTGCCGGTCACAGAGTCCCAAGACGGTCACCCAGATGCCCCAGATGATCTACGGGCAGTATGGACCCTCATCCATCCAGGGCTGGGAGCAGGGTAGCATCTACTTTGAGCCCCGGGACCACATCAGCGTGAGGGACATGCCCACATGGCAACGGCCAGCACCCTGGCACAGGAACGTGGCAGTACAGGTGCCTTGGGTGGAAGAGCCCCCTTACGAGGAAATTGGACAAAACTGGGACGAGGGTATGACGCTAGAGATTTAGGGCAACCATTTTCAAGAGGAAAAAATTGTAAATATGTAAATTTTTCAAATTAATTTTGTAACAGAAAAATTATGAAGGAAGTACTGCTCATGTTAGGTTTGGAATGATCACTGACGAAAAATCAAACATGACCACCAGATGTAAAAAAACAATCACTGCAATTAATTAATGCAATTTCTTTGTTTCTTTTACAATATTTCTTACTCATGGCAATGTTGTCATGGCCACCCATGTTATTATGCACTTAAAAATTGTTGCCCTTATATAATTAGAGTTAATCTCCACCTTTAATAATGTAACTTTGATCTGTGTGCCTTCTTGGGTTGGTAAACAGGGTGTCCATAGAGAGAATTACGAAACTTGTCAAATCAACATCTTTAATGTAACAATAACCAAAATGCTCCTCATTTTCCACATTGCGTTGGTTAACTTTTTACCCAGTGTCTGTCAGATTTCTAATTACCATGACAACGCAATATCATTTAATGAAAAATAATGTAGCGGTCCATCACATCTCTCAGCTGGTTCAGGTTTCAGAACACTAAACTTGTCAAATATCAATGTATGCAAATACATATAAAATCTTAAAACTTGGAGTGGCACAAAATTTGCCTGCGTAAGGAACACTCTGACTAAATCTAATAAAATTTTGGGGGAAAATAGTTTGTCAATGCCCGTTGGGAATCTTTGAAGCGACCATGTTGAAACATGCACATTATTTTCTTGGGACACCCCTGAACCTGAATTTTGTACTTTTCCTGTGCAATACCTACATGAAGTACTACACAAAAGGGGTGAATCAGTTAACATTCTTTTACTGTCCATAAGGGATGTTTTTGTAATTGGTAACTAGTGCTTTTGCTAACTTGTAGATTAGTTAGCTCTGTGATGGGCTGTCTAAATGGCTCAACTTGATGGCCTACTCTATATCTCTGCTTAAACAATTGATGAATTTTTGTTGTTGTTAACTTAATTTAAAAGAACTGTTATCATTCCAATGGGTTTTCTTCAAAGTAAAGACAAGTGATGTATAAGTAAGTAATATTGTTTTGAAAACAAACCCTGATCATTTGGTGACTCCTAACAAATACCTACAACATCATTTTTATGCATATCAAATTTGTAGCATTTATGGAAGATATATTCACACCTAGGGCTAGAATTCATCTTATGCTTTGGAACATGAGCCACGTTTCACATCAGACAATAGGTCACTCTCATTCTAAATTTAGATGAACATGCATCTCGTTCCCCCTCACAAGCGCCGTAGTTCACTGCTTTCAAATGGTCCAGGAGTAATGATGCTGGTAGGGGCACTCAATAAATACATGTCTGTGTGACAGTCAATAGGTCTGATCTATGGCGGCTGCTGTTTATCGTTAACCCCTGCGTCTGCTCAGGGGCCCCTTTGTGCGAGTGCCACTGAATAAATAATCTATAATTTGTGTTATTCAAAAGTACATTGAAAATGTGATAGCTTTTTTTGCTATGAAATTGTTGGCACAAGCAACGTGCATCATGTGAAGACCATGCAGGAGTCGAATATTCAAGCAAAACTCTACAACCAAATTTGTGCTTAAAATTCGATTACAGAACAAACAGCTTTCATATCCTTTTCTGTTGTAAAAAATCACTTTTGGCTCTCTGCTCAGATTTTCCTTTGTGAGGAATTTTAGTTATTTTGAAATACAGGAATCTAAACAAAAATAATTACAAATAGAAAAAAAACTAACATTTACTGTATGCTTGATGTAAATGTATGGAATTTAGAATGAGCTCCTTGTTCATATGGGGAAACAGCAAATCGTGCATCAACAAGAAAACACTGGCTATGATGAGTTATATTTTAGCAACCAACCAAACTTGCCCAGATATTAATGATCTTGACAAGTGAGATCTCCATTCAGTAATTGCCAAACTCTCTCACTGGTGAAAGAGGAGCTCGTAACAATATCATCCATCTTATCAAGACAAACACCAGACTACAAGCAATTTTGTTTTCCCAGTAAGACAGCATTACAGTATTTTACTTCCTTTTACGCTTTACGGTATAGAATTCACTGAGGGTTCACATATTTGGGGGTGACAAACAACATTTAGTCCAAAAAATGCTTCCATTTGTGAACTGTTACAAAATGAACTGCTGTGGAAATGCAGTGATCCAAAACATGATGAAGTTGTTGGACAAAAATAGCATAAGTAATAACTTTTCCCATTACTCAAGGTGTGGTTGTCATGGATACTTGCTTAGTTATGAGGATGTGCCATAAGAGAACACTGTGAATATTTCATGAAGCCATCAAGAACTAAGAAATATTTTTTGATGCATGTTCAATTTTTTATGAGCAGTTTGAATTCTTAATAGCAATTTGTATCATTGTGTTCCAAGCGTATCAAAATCCAAGGTTGTCCTGAGAAGATTATTTTTAACTGTAAGATGGTCAAAGTTCATTGAAAAATGTGCGATATTGTCCTTGACTTTGGAGGAAGTAGCTGTTGTTAATTTGAGGTAGTTTGTCCAATGAACAACACTGCCAAAACACAGCAATTGAAATGTCGAGTTGAAATGCCAATTATTACTTCTTTTTTTTTTAAATTGTTTACTTACTGGTATTAAACAAAATTTATCCTCTATAGATGAATGAAGCCTTTACTTCAGTAATGGTTATGGTACAGTCTACACGCAGACAATGCTTATAGTGTGCTGCCCACACAGACCCACTCTATGCATACTGTATGTCCACGCATGATTCATTGCTTGTCATACTTGTTAACCTGTTAATCTTTTCTTAATAGTCTCTTAACCATGAAGGGGAAAGCCTACTCTTTGTGTGCAGTAGTTTGCCAGCTGATTTACCCTGTACATGTATGTCCATGTGTATTTCAGAGTGAAGCCAGTGGAAATGGCTTGACCCTGGTAAACTTGAACTTCCATGAACTGACAACAAAGATAAATGTACCAAGTCCCAGTCCCTATCAGTCTCATATTGACAAAGAACACATAGCTTTCCATATCTCTATCTTTCTCAATATCATTCAGGTGAAGTTATCTTTTAAGTGATCGCACTTTTCTCAGTGAACAACACTGTAAAGAGCATTAAATTCGCAAGACAAATTTGGAGAATTGATTTCATCTGGGTTAAACGCTGCTTAACTTTTCAGAATGTGTTCAAAACAGAGGGTTGAAAGGATGACCATTTTTGGCTGTGACAAGCGTTTCAGTTTTGGTCTTTTAAAAGTGGTCACCATCCACAAAACAAACTCTTCTGTTTGTGCACACTAACCAGTAACACAGAGGAACAGATGTATTGAACAGTCTGGATCCATTTGCAGGTCATGTCTCATTCATTAGAGGGGCCAGGTTTAATTGAGCACAAGAGATGATACAGGTAGCTTCTGACCTTGATTCGTACTTGCCATCTATGGGGATGAACAAGCCAAATCGTTATCCATCCTACCGGTTTGTGGTCTTAAATGTGTCTTGACACTCAGTACCAAACATCATTTCAGGTTTGCCAGTTTCAGTGCTATTAGCATACAATTCATCATTGTTTTGCAGAGGACAATACAACGGGAAATATGTTTGTTATTTAGTTTAATCATTTGAACATGAACATTTAAAACCAAAAGACCAAATTGACCACGTTGATGACCAACTATTTAAAGTTTAAAATCTGAGAGGGTGCCTCCTTTTTGGTGGATTCAAACCCCTCCCCTCGCAGCACACCTGACACCACCCCTGTCATAACCCAGTATATATACATGACATCATTAGGTCAATGCAGAGCTACAGGTGAATCCCCCATGAGCTCAACCACAAACTAAGCTTAGTCATTCCACGTTGACTTTCTATTGTGCGGTGAAAATGAGATCATTAGAAAATACCCTGGAAGTGTGAAATCATACAGGTGTGATTATAAAAATAAAGATATACACGAGTTTTATTTAAGCCCCTTGCTGGAAGTACACACAAAGGACCACAGAATTACTCATTCTGGGGTTATATCCATGTGGTTGACCATCTAGGGATTCCAAAAAAGCCCCTGGTAGTGCCGCCATTGAGTTGAACAACACTTGAACCATCAGATCTTTTAAAACCCATGAAGCATGACGACAAACAATTAAATTATTCACGGGTATTATGACTCATCTATCGGTTTGGTTTTCCAAACTAAAAAAAAAGTAGTCAACGGAAATAAGAACAATGTGTCTATTTGTAAACGACTTCGGAGGGCAGCTTTCATGAGATTTTTCTTATCAACCAAGATTCATAAAGTCTCTAGTATTGTTGGATTACTCATCATATTCATGTATTATTGTGGCTTTCCAGAACAAAGACCAAGTCTCCTTATGTCACCCCTCAGCAATTCACTATTGTACTCTCGGTCACTTCTTTTGTTTTTTAGGAATAACTGCCCGTCATGAATCCTGGGAGTATCCCTTCATCCGGTGATGAGTCACAGATTGTAAAAACCTCAACAAATGACGTGATGCCAGTTGGTTAGGCACAAGCCGATATATTTGTACAGTGTACCATCACATTGCTGAAAGCTGATTATGGCATTCAAAGCAAATGCCACAGCAGCTGAAAATGGCCACACCCTCTCCGATCGATTTTATATCACAGGCAAGCATACATGTACATTTACATTTATTTATCATTTCTTATAAAAACTACATGTACCAATAGAAGTGAAATTGGTTGAAAGGTACTTTTTAATTAAAAACTATTGATTTTAAAAAGTAATTAAAAAAGAATAATAAACATAAATCAGTTTGAAAATATCTTCTTGAACAAATTGTTTTTTTAACATTAAGTTAACTTGGTCACGTATATTCCATTGATTATTTACATGCAAGTGCATTATTCTATTCAACTAGATTTATTTTTGGATGACAATAGAAGCAATGACACTCTGTCGTCTGTGTGTCAGTAGAGAGTGCAACACAGCTGTTTCTTAAATGTAACAGGAATGACATCCCATTTGGAGTTCTGTTGGACAATTAACTAGAGAAATTATACATCTATTACTCTGGAGAGCAACTGTGTACTGGTCATGTGTGGTCAACTGAGAACTGGTCATGTGTGGTCAACCGAGTACGGTGTACAGAAAATTACTGTTATTTTTCATATTTCTTTGTTTGCAGTTGGCATTTGTTTCTGGGCAACATATATTCTGTGCATGGTAACCTGAAAAAAAATTGCAATGTTCATACCGGTACCCTTGTACCCTTGTTTTTTCACAAAAGTCAACTGGACATTTTTTATGCTTGATTGTGCTTTGAAAAGTTGTTTTTACTTTATAAGATGTACAATTTGTATTTTGCGTAATTGTTATAATCCGTTTTCATCATCAATGTGTTGTGCTACATGTATTTATTTCGATGGGAAACGTACTAATATGGATGTAGTCTGATCAGCTAACATAAAAACATGCATAGGAACTAAATGATTGAATCATTCTGGGATGTAAATGTGGAATTGTAAATCAAAAGAATATTGGACAGGTTGTTAAATGTAAATATATGTAAATAAAACATGAGACAGTCAAATGGCTAAAAAGGTCATTAAGAGTTTTTGCTGTTCATTAATTCATGTCATGGCAAGCATCATTGTGAAATTACAATCAAATGCCACGGAAACTGATTCCCGCTGTGAATACGGTACAGAATGCCATCAGTGAGCAACGTTAGATGGAAAATATACAACAGTTTTTTATATTTTAAAACTTAAACAGTTTAAACTTAAAGACTGTGACCATTTAAAAAACAAACCCAAAAGGAATTTGTATCACTCTTCTGCTACTCTTATCCCAAGCAATATCCCCTAAATTAATACAAATGCATCTGATTGTGAAATACACAAAATACAAATCTGAAATGCACATACAGCAATTTGTATGTACATGTAAACACATATACATGTGTGCAACTTCCTCGTTTCACACTTCCTTGTGTACCACAATGAATTCTTGTAATCAAGGGATAATCTCCAGAATCCTCCACTTCAATCAGAAACAGAGCAAGAGAACGTCCCTATACAATGTGAGATTGCGTGGGAATTTTCCTCATACCACCTGCTCCCAACACCCCTCCAGACACCCATTCATCGCCCTCCTGAGCCCATTAGGGTCACAAACAGTAAAGTGCGGTCCTGAATGGGTGTCATGGAATTGCCAGTCAGGGGAGCTGAAAGACCTCTGGCACGTGCCAGGCTTTTAACAGCCTCCACACACCTGTGCACAAGTGCAGTAAACTTGGCGCAAGGCTTTTGCTCGAGGGCTATTCAATCATTTATAGGCCTTTGATATGAACATCAAACACCCCAATGCCTGTGTCCTTCAAGCCCTCGGCCTGCCCATGCCTGGTCAAGAAAAATACACCTATGCCAGAATTTCAAAGTTCACGATAATATTTGCTGGATTATCTCTCCCAACCTGCAGGAATGGTTCGCATTACTTGGCAAACAATAGGAAGACGAGATGGGGAAAAAATAAATTCTAGATAAGAAACAGAGGCCCTTATTTTCTTGTTTCTAAAGTTCACAAGAAATGAACAACATCCCTTTTACATGTGTATACACCCATGACCTAGCAAACATTCCAGGCTACAGTGAAAGGTTAGGATCTTGAAGAACTCTTATCAAGTCTTGAACACATGCCCCACGTGATGTATATAAGTAAGTTGGTTACACTGTTTTTCTTTTCCACTGATAGCTCAAACCAATCCACAGCTGCTGAAATCCATAACCTACCCAGCAGCACAAACACCTCATATCGTGATTTCAGATTCAATCAATCAATTCTTCCAGTCAAATGACTGATCAATTCCACACCCCAACACCCAGGAACAAGGGCCTCCCCTACAAGGGCAACTTCCTCAACAGTGGCGTTCTAGTGCGGCTTGGACAGGCGGCATTGTCTGTGTGCAATGTGCGAGCGAGTCCTGAATTAGGGTTCTGGCCCCATACTATTTCTGTAGGTGTGGAAGTTCTGCCTGCCTTGTGGACGGCTCGTGTGTGGTTGTGGTTCTGGTATTTTAGGAGGCTGAGCAGTGTGTCCACCTGTGTATGTGATGCAAGATACTATAATGAATACCACAGATATGACCTACACGCAATCATATGACGACAGATGGGTAGTGTCTGGCTGATATCAGAGTATTCATATTTAACTACAATATGTAAAATGTTACTTGAAAATTCCAAATTTACAAAAGGGATATTTCAGAAACATATATATGCTTTGCAGTATTATGTCACTTTCAAACAAATTGAAAAATACAGTATTGCTAATCTTCAAAACATTTCACCCACTTTCTGCAAATGTCTGGCTGGGTTTAACATTCCTGTCAAATGTATTCTAATCCACAGAAATTTAATACTTGCTTGAACTCAACTTAAATCCCCAAGTTTTATGAGTTGCACTTCAGTTCAAGTCAGTATCACGTATGTAGGTACGTACAGTACATGTACAGCACATGTACAGTACATGTACAGTACATGTACAGTACATGTACAGTACATGTACAGCACATGTACAGTACATGTGCATCTAGTCTACACAGCAGTCCAGCAGGGTGGAAGCGTGCCTGCACAGCTGGTATCAACTCGGATAATTTCCCTGGCACGCGAGTCCTTTCCCCTCTAGGCAAAACCTGGCTAACATACGACTAGCAGTGGCCCTTTGGCCAAACTCCTAGTGCTTCCTTTCAACACCATGCTGTGACGAGTGTGTGGACCAGGCAACAAATGCTTCCAAATTAGGCCTTTTTTTCCGAGACAAGACTGGAAAATAAAAGCCGCCGTCCATTTTTGGTCAAAACTGTGTACAGAATGATTTGTGTATTTGGATCACTGTTTAATCCAATTCTACAGTAGCTGTATGCAGTTGGAATTTACAAACGTGTCAGTTCATAGAGAAAGAAATAATTTGTAAGGAACAAATTCCTAACTGGCACTGATTTTAGCATGGAGGAAGAAAAAGTAAATACATGTAGTTCCAAAGTCAACCCAAATATGGAAAAGGGTGTCAAGAAATTAAACTAATTACATTTTATTAAAAACAATTCACTTCCAAACGCCCAAAAATCCAAAACATTATAGTTACAGAACGATTTTATATATTCCCACAACTACTTGAACAAAAACTCACAACTTTCCACAATGAAAAATTCAAGTACATTACAGGACACACTGAATCCCAGGATTTCTCCTTATCAATCACCACATTGCCAGCAACCAACTACAGCTCTTAAAATGTTACCACCCCTAAGCCCAGGCTAAACCCAGCCCAGACAGGGAACACAGAAGTGGCACACCCCATGCCTCTGGCCACTGTAATGCTGTGAAGTTGATGTAAATCCAACAGATTGTGGAGAAAAAGATTAAGATCCTGTCTCCAGAACTAAGGCAGGCACTGCATTCTTTCAAGGGCGGCGTCAGAATGCAGATCAGCAAACGTGAGAAAGAACATTGATGAAGCCATATTCAGGTCATTCCTTTTTACTCTGAGGAATTTCAATGCTGAGCTTGGTGCTTCACTGAAGGGTGCGGTACACGTAGCATCTGTGCAATAGCTGCGTGTCAAAAATGACCACACCAAATCTGCTGGATTACAAAAGCTTCCCCCGTATGTGACTTTCACACTTTAGTGTCACTGGCTGGCATCACTAATTCTGTATATTTGGCTATTTGAATGTTATTTAAAAACCAGAATAATTGTCAATTTCTCCTGGATCCTAATGAACTCAGCAGATGACCCAAAATGGTCATAAATGTAGTAACTCAAAACATGAAAGTGTTCAGAATTTAATTTCTGGATGGATTTGTGAAATTTCTGTACAAAAGTACAAAAACTGCTGCAAACTGCTTGCTGACTTCAGTGACCTGATTCATAAATTTGCAAATAAAAAAGTTAGAGGGTCTAACATTTCAATCCTAGCAAAACCTTTTTCAAAGGCAAAATGACAAGAGGACAGAGGCATTTCAGGATTTTGAAATCATTGGATTGGCAAAATGGTAAACACAATAAGACGGACATGATAAGTAGTACATGTGTACTTCTGGATTCTGCAAGTTGTTGATGCTAGTGAAATGAGCCCGATGGGGGGGGGAACAATAAAGTATTTTCCCAAACCCTAATGAGAAAAGCAAACAGGTGCTTTCTCATGTTTTAATTCAATAAAATCCTGCACAGACAACAGATAACTTCTTCGGATTCGTTTATTCCTCATTATGCAATCTCAAACAAAGGCACGTTTGCTGAACCTAATGTACACACATAGACATGAATGCAAAGTAAGATATAATTTATGCGCAGTCGCCATATGGTTTAAAATTTGAACAAGGCTGAGCCTTCCAGTACTGCAAATTTGGCGGATTTCGCTCTGAACCTCAAGGCACAAATATAACATGTTTATTTCCAACCCTCATTATATGGGCTTTAAAATGTGAAGTGAAATTACTGGAAACCAAACCCCTGTTCTAAACAAACAATAGAGGTTTCCCAGTTGTAGTAAACTTCTTTTTTATTTGTAGCAATATTTTTTTATTGAATGTGCACAGACAGTTTTAACAGACGGGGCTGTCAAAAGGATTTACAAGTTATTGAAATATACCCTTTTTGTAGCCTTGTTGTGTAAAGCTTTGAAAGGATTTACTTGCTGACATTGTATAACAGGAGCTTTAATGTTTCCCCTTTTAGGGCAATGGAAACTGCAAGCCAATGGATGAAATAAATTAACCCATGATACAAGCATGACCCAAAACTGAAAGTATGGATACAGTGGCTTACAATAAATACAGGAGGAAGTTTTGAACACACCTTTAGTAAAGATTTCATCTGAAGTCTGAAACTCACTCCCCATTCTGTGTTTTTCCATGCTTTGTTCTTTCCCATGATAAGAGAATTGCAACAAAGGCAACACAAGTGTTTGTCAATGTGTTTCTGTTCTCTGCTTTTTTTTTTTCTCTCAAAAAGTTCCTTGTTTTAAAACCAATGCAATGTTTTCTCAACAGTCATGTCCGTGGAACCAAACTGCCATAACAGTTGCCTGCAACAAACAGCTTCTCTGAAAATGCTCCCGTAATCTCATAGATACAGCAACATCTAACACTGCGCAAAGCTTGCTGTGCCCAACGTTGTACAGTGTGCAAAAGAATGTGTTTTACACTGTAAGAGTGGTATTTGCCTTTAAGCTCTGCTTTTTTTAAGTCATACTCGCACTTGCCTGTGGCCTCAGCCCTGTTCTTTCTCACACGCTAAAAAATGCATGCTGTCATTTTCTGACTGAACTTAAGAAGGCAGGGAATATTTCTAAAATTTTTTCAGTTGTCTCATACCCTTCAAATTTATGAATATATTAATTATATCAGTAAAGCAAAGTTCTTTTCCCTCTCCTATCTAGCTTCCCTATGGCAGCTTTTATGGGAAAACAAAAAGATGGCGCTAAAATAAATGGGGTAACTTTTAAACTGGAATTGAGCAACAGATCAACACCCAATCTCAAGGTCCTGGTGCAATAGCTATTATATTTGCTCCACTAACAAGCTCAATTGACCATCTATGATACGAGTGGGAAAAACACCCTTTGTGCAGTCCCAGCCTGATTCATTCATCATTGCTGACAATGAAGGTTTGGTTAATCATTAACACATAACAGGGGAAATCCAATCTAAATGAAACAATTTCCCACGCTATTACAGCTGCTCCATGGTCTTCAAATAAATTCATGTATGCAAATCCTTATCCCAAGAGGAAAGTCAGTTTAAAAAGAGCAACTTGATAATACTGGAATAATTAAATTGGGATGTAGGTCCACGTGTGTCTTCAG